TTAACTTCGTTTAGCTATTATAGCCTATTTAAAACAGATGAAATGAACCAGTAGTTTATGGTAACGGGGCCTACCACGTTGGGTCCTTGTTGCCTGTCTTTTTCTTGTCGTTCAGCTCAAAATGTTTAGTGCGTTTGAGGACACTCTGGATGACAGACTTGCAACTGGAGCATTGGAGTTTTAACACAATCTTCTTTGTTGTCTTTGCCTTTTTGTGGAAAATGGGCTTCGTCTGACCTCCATAACCTGACTGCTTGCGATCGTAACGACGTTTACCACGAGCGTAGAGACGGGCCTTGCCGGCCTTATACTGAACCACTTTGAATGTCTTGTGCGCATTGCAGCGCTTGTCAGGGCAGTGCAAGACCTTCTTTTTCGGAAAGTTCACCATTTCTACACGGTTCTTTGTAATATTTATTTATACAAATAGATAAGTTGGGATTCAGAGTGGGCAACTTTTTAAATATTATGCATAAAATAAATGAAAACATTTTTCGAGATATTTCATTATTGGCTGCGTTAACCTTATAAATGAGGAGCTGAGTAAAGGAATGCTAATTTGATTTAATTGTCCTAGAATAGCTCTAAATATACAGGCATAACTTTATGCGAACTTCATAATTATTTTCTCTATTCACTATGTTGAAAAATAAAAAAGAAAATTAAACGTCTTATGACTTTGGATATTCTATAAATACACTTAATCTTAGTGTATAAAGGGAGAGTTGTGTTATTCTATGAAATTTATTAGGTCTATTTTAGAAGTAGGCACTCACCGGAACGCTTGTGTTTTCTACGGTCACCATCTCCCTCGCTTCTAAAAACGACTTTTCATGAAGTCGTTGTCGACTCTTTTCATGACTTTTGACTACACTGCTCGGAGAGATAACACCATTTTTATGCTCAGTTGGAATCCCCTCGTCCACAGAGTCCTTCATTCGCGCTTCATATGACACCCTCCTCGACTCTGGCTTACCCAAAGTGGCCTGCTGGCATGAAGGGGCTCTCATAGCTCCTGCTGAGGGTGTGCGTGAAATCGCAGATTTATCTTCCTGTGCTGCCGAATACGCAAAAAGAGGCATCCGTGCGGTTGAATCCTCCGCGTAGGAAGCAGTTTCTTTCACAGAAATTGAGGGGCTGTTCACGCGACCGTCCGGCCCTCGAAGCGCATCAAGGCTTGGAGATGGCTTCCATGATGTTGCGTTGGATGTCAACCCGGGAGAAAGCGATCCCTTCACGCTCCCCCACGAGCTCCAATGCCTTCCAGTGACGCTTGTACTACGCTGAAGGTGCAGCAACGCCATTTGTGTTTGCTTAAGCTCTTGCGACAACTTTTCCCTGTGCTCATCAGTTTTTTGCAGCTGCTCCCGTAGTTCATTATTTTTTACTTGAAGGCTCTGAACATGGTCTTGATAACTGGCAAGCTCCTTTTTCACACGAATGGACGCATTCTCTTGCTCTGAAAGAAGGGCTTGATGGGTGCGTAGCTGTTCTGTTGCCACTTTGAAGCGTTCTTTTGTGTTTTTTATGGTTTGTAGTTGGTTACCAATAATGTAATTAGCTTTATCAAGCGATTTCCCGACATGCTGGAGTTGCGTGGTGAGCTGTTCGTTTTGTTTGTTTAGCATATTGATATAGCTGTCCTGCTTCTGGAGGTGCGATTTCGCGGTTTCGAGCTCCTCTTCCTTACTTTGCAGAGACGCCAGAGAGCTCCGCAGACGTTCACTCAGGGAAACATAATTGAGCTTATTTTCCGAAATGACACTTGTTGCTTCCATTTGGTACATCTTGAGCTCCTGTAACAATTTACGAAGCTTCTCAAGCTCTAGTTGCTGAGCATCACGGGTTTCCTCCAAGTGTTTATTGTCCAATCTGAGCGATTTCAGAGTGGTCTCAGAAGCTTCGCTGCGCTTGCGCAGTTCATCAATAATTGCATCTTTTGTTTGATTATTTTCCTTTAAATGTTGCTCAATATTCGAAACTTTATTTTGTGCATCTTTCAGCTTATCCTCATAGCTGTTACGAAGCACTTCCATATCATTCTGATGGACCTCACGCAGCGTGTTCAGGGAAGTCAATTTATCCTTCTCGGATTGTGCAGTAAGAACACGCAGTTCCTCTTTAAGAGATCGATTTGCTTCAGTCAACCCTTCGACACGGTGTTTCAGGTCCTGAATCATCTGATGTGCTCGCTCCCCTTCTTCTTTGCGTTCCGAATTGCATTGAAGGAAAGCTTGCTCAAAGTGCCGAAAACGCTGTGCAAGATATGTTTTTTGCCCTGTATCACCCTGTCGTATTAGAATTAAAGAAATGTGCTCTACAGTTTTAAATGAAGTAATTTCGATGATTCGAAGCGTACCACGACTGGCATCGTTTGCGTGTACAGCAAAGCTGATTTGAAAAGGAGATGTGCCTTGCGTAATTCCTTGAATCATGTTCACGAAAAAACGTGGGAATCCGTAGAAATCGACCAAAAGCTCGAGCCTTTGCTTGAAAGCACTGTAATCTTCTTCAATAAGCTCTAACTCAAAGAGGAAAAAAGGGTCCTCTGGGTCCGTTAGACGAATGAGAATCGTTCGTAGTGTGCCATGTGGACCTCCTCGGCCCAATCGGATGCAAAGACCAAGTGAATGTGCTGTTGTTGTCTCATCTTTAGGATGCAGTTTAGAAGACATGGGTACTACAACCTCCAGAAGGGTACTACCCTCTGGTGAGGTGTCAAGTGCATTGACTGAGGAGTCTACAAGAGCCTCGTCCCTCGGTGCAGTATGAAGCAAAGACGCTTGGGATGGCACTTTGTGCGTAAAGCAACGCGTCACGTCGAACACCTTCCCTGAGTTCCTGTCGTCTCCGAAATCAGAATGATTGCAAACGCTATAATCAGCTATTCTACTGGAGTTCATAGCTATTGATGGTTTGAATAATAAAAAAGATACACTATATATTGTCCCTCAGTATATGTACAAATATATATACATATATATATATATATATATATATATATGTGTGTGTGTGTGTGTAAATATACCTGTTTGTTTATATTTGTCGAATGCCAAAAAATATATATTGTCTTTTGGTCAGCTCTTATGCAAATAGGTTGCGGGAAAGGTGATAAATTCGATGTAAGAAATATGAAAACCCTTTGACAATGATACTGATTATTCCACATTAAGCATAAATAGATAACAAATATAATGTCTGATATGGTGTGCTGCGTTTCTTCTCTATGATATTGGAATTGCCGTATCCTCTATCTCACCCATCCGTATCCGGAAACTCTAAATACTCATCTGCTGTTGTTGCTGCGATGTGTTCTCGAGAATCATAGGCAAAAAAATTTCGGTAGCTCAAAAGAATTGGCAAGACCGTAGCCTGCTGTGCAGATTTTTCAATATCCTCTAATGTGACCCATTCATGCCACTTGGGGTTAATCATGTCCACGATCTCGGACAGAATCAAGTGCCCCGAGATGTCTACCATGAGACCGCTTTGAACGAGTTCATTTGCAATCTCTTTGCAGAAGCAATGCAAGGTGGTAACACGAATGTAAGATGACGTGCCATCGAGGTCCAGTATTTTCCATATATATTTCATAGCCGCCCGCGTTGCCGCATGCTCCGTCGCGATCACAAAATTTAGATACGTTTTGTAGTCCATAACGTGACGCTCACCGGTGTGTGGGACGTGGCATTCAAACACGCGCTTGATAGCGAGGTGTGTGAAGCTGTCGTTGCTATAGTGGCTGATCTCCTCCATCGTTAGTACCCCATCTTCATCTTTGTCAAGCGCTGTGAAGTGTTCGTAAATGCGGCACATCAGTGGAAACGAAAACCAGTTGTCCATGCTCAACACTTCATGAGAATAATAGTCGGCGGAAGCATAGCTAAAAAAAATTTCCCCTCGAGGAACATCAAGGACTATATCAGAGTCTAGGATTCGGACTGTGTATTTGTCCCTGATATCAGAACCTTCATTTTCAAACAAGACTACAATGGCGGGTACCGTGTCGTCAGTGTTGACAGCTAAGGCCAGGTCAGCCTTGACGAGATTCGCTGAAACCTCGACCGCGCATCCGACAGGGTATGGTAAGACCGCATCCTTTGGGTTGCTCTCAAACAAACGCAGCATTTCTGAAAAAACGTCGCTCTTCATGACGGTATCTATAGAAATAGAACCCACATTGTGTGGATCACACATGAACATAAACTTCCGTGATGCATGGCATAAGTAGTATGACCGCATCCATGGCGGCATATCACGAACTAGCTTCAGATGGGGGATTAGTTTACCAATAAAGTTCTCAAGATCCTCCTCCGTAAGACCGTTGGATAGTGGTGATGAACGACTCGCTGAGCATGATAATTGTCTAGCGGGAATTGCAGATCTGAGACGCAAAAACGGTGGCGGTACAGAAGCCACAAGCTCAAGCTCGACACGTAGTCGAAACAAAAGAAGACGCTTTGCTGCAAACGCGTAAAGTGGTACCGCAGGCACTGTTTCCTTATCCGATCGTTTGAAAGCAAGAAAAACAGCAGGAGATAGAAACGGGTGCGCAAAGAAGAGGCATCTTCTCTCATCTTTTACCTTTTGCGATGCTTCTGAATCCTCCTCTGGAGTAACATGGAAAATAACTTCGTACACCATGTTCCGATAGCCCTCGTAGCTAAGTTGGAGTTCGTTATAAGACTCAACCGTTTCGTCATTCGTATTGAAAGTTCGATACCGATATTTAACTATACCACTCCAAATTGTCGTTGGATCGGTGTTCATAACTAGGCGATCAATGTGCTGCATGAGGTAGCTCCTCTTCTCATCACATGCCTTCCGTAGAAGAGACTGTGTTTCAGCATCCAAAGAATGTCGAAGCGAAAGCATTTTTTCCTCTTATTATTGAAATTGTGAGAAGAACACGTGCGTACGTATAGTATAATGAAAAGTCAAAGAAAGGAAGGAAACTTGGTAAATTCCAAAAGGGACTCTCCAGTAAAACACAATGCACTATATTCAAGTAGGTTTACCATACAAAATGCCTCGTGGGAAGTTTAAAAAGCGGTGCTATCCACACTAGCTTAAACCAACTCCAACAAAGCTTCAACCACATAGAAAGGAAAGATAGCATGACTTCCTTTATTTCGTTTGTTCAATACTTTTACCCACACACCAGATCTGTAAAATACGTCTGAAATCTCAACCAAAGAGAGTTTTAAAAAAATGACTAGTACCTTCGCAACAAAGCCACTCATTGACTTATTTCGATCCGATCAGTTCCAAACCCTCAGACAAAGTCGTTTTTTCATTGCACTGAAGCGGGTCAAATGTTCAGTGAATTTTTTATACCTGTATGTGTCCACCTAAAAGCTGTTTCTCTACTCTGATGTAAATGGGGGAGACTTTTCAAATACTGGCGTTTCCATCTTGCAAATTTTGCAGTAAACACGCGATTCAAAGTTTACATATGCACATCGAGGGCAAGTCCAGTCTTTGTGTTGAAAAGATTTAGAGAAATCCATATCTTGTGTGGGAAACTTTGCTCCTGGAGAATGTTGGTTACCACAAACAGTACAAGCATCATGATTATTTGAATTCGAAGCATGACATGACGTACATACCCACGTTGCAATTTGCTCTACAGAATCAGACAACCGAGGGCTCGCACAGACAAAGCATTGGGAACGCATCCTAAAGTTATGGGCTCTACATTTCTTGCAAACCCAATCGCCGGGCAAGAAGTTATCGGTTAGAGATATCATAGTACCTTTTGAAGCAGGAAGAGAATCAGAACTCGATTTTAGGGGCTTAGGCAAATGTGGTTTCAAACAAAACACACAAATCTGTCGGCGAGCGAAGTTGTGAGCTCCACACTCGCACAACCAGTCACCTTCCCTAACATCAGCTGGTTCAAAAAAGCGTTTGGATTGCTCTACGTTCTGTGATTGAATTGGAGTTGCATTTGCCTTCCCACAATTGTTGCACCACTTGCGGTAAGAAAAATTAGAATATCCACAACCGCAGACCCAATCCCTAAAACTTAAGGAATTCGAAGAAAAACGGTTTAAACTCAATAAAACACGAGAGCGTAAAGAATTACCTAATAGGAAAATTCGATGGTAAACCACAACGTGTTTAAGTAGACGCATTACTATAAGAAGCTAATAAACCACTTAGCTAACACAAAAAATTCATACATAACAGAAAAGAAAGAAGACAAAAGTAATTAAACCAACATAAAAAAAACAGCTGAATACGAACAAAAGCTTTTAAAGTAAGTATAGTAAACGAGAAGTATATATACATATAAAAACATTCTTCTTCATTTAGCCCAGCTTTCCATGCCGCAATAATGTGGAAAAAAAGTGCATAACCATTTTTCTATTACTCAGCACACATGGAAAAACAGACGGAAATTCTTCCCACTTCAAAACATACCACAAAAATTCGAATTTGCGCCTTTCCTCATCTTCCCTCCCTTTCATCTTTTATCTTCGCTTTTATCACGCCTAAACTAAGTTCAGTCTTCCCACTTTCCCTCTTCACTCCTGGCCTGAAAAAAGTACATTAATCGGAAACAATACAACATACAAAAAAACGGAGGGCAACACATCTAATTTCCCCATTCGTCTTCTCCACCCAGATCGATATCCGGCGAAGCCTCTTTGACTGGCGTCGGATCAGGCTCCACTTCACCTAAATCGTCTGCCTCGCCGTGAGTCGCGGAGTCTGGTAGTGGTGGTGGTACTGCTGCTGCTTCCAGTATGTCCTCCCCTAAACTACCGTGTTCAGGAAGACCCTCGTTGCCCTCCACGGCATCACACGCGTTGCTGCCGCCACGCGGCTGAATGTCAGGAAATAGGTTAGGATACGAAACTGGATTGGCTATTGACTCGCGCACGTGCGGCAGTGCAGACAGAGACAGCTTCCACTGGGTCACCGCCCCCTCGATCTTATCGGGGCAGTAGGTCCTTGCGTAGAACGCGGCCTCGGCGAAGCGCTCCGCCTGACACAGCAAATCAAACGCGTCAGCGTAGCGCTGCACCAGGTGGAAGCAGGTGAAGGCAAGATTGAGCTTTTTGCTCGCCAGACACTTTTCCCCTAACAGGGAGACCGAGTCAAAGTCGTTGACAGAGGTAAAGATAAGCAGCAAGCCACAGTAGTCCCCACATTTCCAATACGCATCAGTAGCAATATCAAAGTAGCCCTCATCAAGTGCAATATCACCGACCTGCTTCCAGCGTGCCGGCTCAGGTATGCGCTCCGCCAGCTGCCGAGCGAGCTCAAGGTCCTTCAGCCGCACAGCCAATTCAAAGCGATGGGAATCATCCGTAGTCGTCCGCAAGGCCATTTCATGCAGCCCACGCGACTCCAAAAAGTGCGCTATCTTGGGCTTGTGGGCATCCTCAATCGATTTGAGGAGCTCCTCAGCGGCACTGTAATCCTCACGTACGATCGCTGCCATGCACTCGAGAGTGCTCACTTTGAGTACATAACTAGTCACATTATTCTCTTTGTCTATACAAAATACTCGACCCTCCTTCGAAACGTACCCCAGAAGGTATTGGTTCCGTGATACCACCGCAATAGTGTTGATATCTCCGCCAATATAGTAGTTTAGGCGGTTGGTCTGAGTAATAAAGACCATACAATCCCCAATCCACAGCAGGTCACGCACACTTTCCTCTATCTCCTCGACGAGATCGAAGGAGGACTCCAGACCATCCTCCTTTAATTGGTTACGCCTGACACACTCAGCCACATCGTTGCTGTTATACCTGAGTAAAAATACCGAGTCTGCTGTCACAAGCGAGACGTGTTCGCCACTGCCGCTCCACTGAACCATCGTGGGCTGTGTGTCGATGACCCTGATGATCGACAGCGACACCCAGTCATAGAACACGATATTGGAGGACGTCGCCACTCCCAGCAGTGGGCCAGCGAAAAGGTGGTGCGCGGGCTCAGGCAAGGACAGTGTTGCACGTATCTTGAAGTTTTTGTAGATTTTCAGCGTCATGGATGTTTCCAGCACGGCATAGGAACTACCCTCCGGACCCCAAGCAAAGGAAGTGCAGGTGCCATACGATTTAGGGCGCAACGCCAACGTGGACAAAATGGTATACTCACCATCCCCTACGAGAACGACACTTTGTCCTCCAGCGCTGTGCTGGAGGAGGCGCCCAGGCGTCTCCACCGTACCGACATCCTTGCGCACCAAACTGAGCACCTCACCGTCAGGAGTACCCTCAGGGACTCCCTTGATGTCCAAACGGTGTATTTCATTGCCTTGCGTGATTAAGGCTCGCCCATTTGAGTCCATGGAGAAGATCGGCTTCGCCTCCCCCACTTTGAAAACGGTAAACCCGCTATCATATCCCACAACAAGCACATTAGAGAGGTGTCTTGTGGCCATCGTCCACCCACGATTCATTGCACTATGGTCTAGGCTGTGAAGCAGACGAAAGGTCTCACTAGATATCACCTTCATTGACGTGTCCTCAGCAACAGAAAAAATGAGGGGGACATCCGGGTGGAATAAAACCGAGGTGACGGTCCCACTGTGAAAAGCAAAGACGTGCAAACATGCCTTCGTCTGGTAGTCCCACAGCCGCACCTCATAATCATCAGAGCCACTCAGCAAGTACGGTTTGTCACCACGTGGGTAGTACTCCACACAGTTGACGCCCGCCGTGTGACCCTCCAAAAAGTACTTGGGCTGAGAAATGTTGATACCCCACACCATCACCAACCCGTCAAGCGAGGCCGAGGCAAAAGTGGAAGGATCGTTCGGATTCAAAGCAATCGCCATGCAGTAATTCTGATGGCCCCTGTAGGTCACTTGCAGCGCCCAATCTTTACTCCAGTCCCATTGGCAAATCGTCTCATCATCTGAGCAAGTCAGTACAATCGGGAGCTGGTCATGCACAGCGATCGAGCGAATGTAATCAACGTGTGCCTGGAAGATCTTCGTGCGTTCCATGGTGTTGTAGTTATAAACACGCACGTTCATGTCATCGCAACCGCAAATAAATGACTGGAGCCTCGGGATGAAGCGAACGCAGCGGACAGGCATCCCAGTGGTGGTGTCAAAGGAGCGCACCTGCGTTTCTGTCTCGTAGTTCCATAGATTCAGTACACCGTTGTAGTGTGCAGCAATAAATATTGGATCGCGAGTGTGTATGTCCACCATCTTCACTCGCTCGGAGCTCACCGAAAAGCGTACCGCCAAGGGCCCTGTCGCTTGCGCCATCAGTGCGGTGCCTGATTATCTGGTGTCGTTAAAATATTTCACTTCGCCTTGCCTCCTTTCCACTAATGGCTAGCACTGAATCTCGGGCGATAAACAGCCTCAGATAATAGTTGTGTAGCACTCGAAGACTAACCTCTTATGCGCAAAATCGGATAAAAAGTGTAAAGGGATCAAAGTGAGATCAGACATATGTGAAACGAAAATGAAACTGAACATTTAATTAGTTCTTTTTAACTGTAACATATAACAAATCTTCCTACTTTCATTCAGATTATTTTATCATTTCAACAATTGTTGAAATGCTATAAACAAGAAAATTACCACTTTATCTTTCCTTCCTTGACGATATGTGGTTTATTCCGTATCATTCTTGAGCTTTACGACAAAAATAACTGATTCACCTCGAAGGAAAAGGTTGCGAATCGTTCTTTCTTTGTGATCTCCCTTATCGTTTCCGCTAAGCTCGACCACGTTCTGGAGGACCATATTAAAATGTTTATCGAAAGCCAGAAGATTTGCAAGAAGAGACTTGTTAAATCGGCATTGAATGAAAATTTGGATTCCCTCTTTCATAGCACTGTCGAGTACACTAAAGGGTCCTTGAGAAACTGTGGTTTCAAGAATATCCTTTGTCGTTGGTTTTGCCTTTACGGTTTCGATTCGTCTAATTTTAGTTGACTTTTCGTCGGCCATTGTACGTAGATAACAATAATATTGTGGGGAAACAAAAACTCCGTTACAAGCCAAGTAATATTACTATATTTGATAAATATATATATATATATTTATGTTTATGTGTACGTAGGTATGTAAAAACTTGGGAATAAAATCAGCTCTACTATTATTCTGAAAGTAACAAAAAGAAGAATCAATAGCACTAATATTTACACAAAAACACGCAAATAGTATAATTGGTGCGTTCGGAAAACAACATTTTGCATCAAAATCGAGCATGGTATGTTAATTTCTACCTCTTCCTCTATGTCCTCCCCGCTCAGATGAGTAAAAAAAAATGAATAGTATTGTTATGCCTCTAGAAAAAGAAAGTAAAAAGACTATGTAAATGTCATGAATAGTATCAATAACAAACATGTACACCCTGATTCGCATTCTCACAGGTTAGAGTTTCATGTGCATTCAAAAATGAACATATTCCTTGTTCGTGCATAAGCTGTAATGAAAGACACTACTCCAGAGTACGTAGCCTGCTAGGACCTGTGTGAATATTTAATGCGAAAATCCTGCCTTCCCATTTTTATCTGTATTCTAAGAACCTTTTTTCACCGTTTTTGTGGAGACGAAATTCACGGTTGGCCAGTCTCTCCATCCTTCTCGACGTATTGAGTGTAGACCTCCCCTGTGTTGGGATCCACATAGGCCTGATAGGACTCTCCCGTTTGGGGGTCCACATAGACGTAGCTAGTGAGCGCATCAGCCGTGTTGGGGTCGTGCTGCGCGGTGTCGCTCTCGGGTTGGAGGGCCGCCGAGAGGTCAGCCCCTTCCGTGTGCTCGCCTCCCGCCCTCGCCGCCTGCAGAGCGCCCACCGAGAGGGCGGATTCCGACAAAATACGCGCAAACTGGGCGTCTCCCGTCGCGTAGGCTGCCGCCATTGGATCGGTATGATGGCTCTTCTCACTATGAGCCCGCTCCGGGAGGATGCTCATCGGGTGGTAGTTGCCGTTTTCGTCGATGGTCCAAACCACCCCCTCGTTGGGGTCGCGCGAGTCCCTCCCTTGCGGTGGATCCGCCTCCGCCGCGCCGGCATCCCCACCAGCTAATCCGTCCGCTTGTGGCGGCATGTTGATATTTAAAAGCCTTTTTTCGTCCTCTACAATCAAATGACGCTCCCTCTTTTTGGAGTGCTTGCGCCCCAAGTACCATGAGTAGCGGAAAAGAATAATAAGAAGGGGGACCACCGCGATGAGGGAAAGTCCCCAAAGACCGGTCGACGAAGGGCAATGAAGTGGCTCTGGGAATTCCTCGTTATCATCCGGAAAGACGATATCCTCGAGGATTCTAACCCCCGAGACGTAGCTCGTCGGGCGAGGGGCTACATTCGTCAACATCTCTACATTTGGTTTGCCGCGTGCATCCCAGGTACTTTTCAAAGCCATCATATTGGAACGTTTACGGGTTTTGTGTACAGTGTCGAATGCGGTCTCTATATTGCGATGAGAATCTGTGATGATTTTTTCCGTCGATGGAATTTGAATGAAAACAGTAGCTTCGAATTCATTTTTACATCTCTTCCTAGTAATAATATTGTTTTCAATATATTTACCGCCGTCTTTTGTATAGATCTTTGTAAACTTCACCGAGTCCGGGGCACACACAGGTAAAAGGGAAAATGTCCGTTTACCGTGGCACGGTACTCTTTCATACTCCCCGGTAATGTGCGAAAGAACTCTCAGCTTCTTTCCAAGAACAATTGAACACACTCTAGCAAGTTCATCAAGAGACGGACTCGCAGTCTTTTCAGCCCAGGAATTAAGTCTCGTATGGATTCTGCTCCCACTCTCCAAGGTTCTCGTTTCAGCAGTGATGTAGAGCCTCAAGGCGTTCTTTTCCAATGTGGTAAGAAAAGCACGGCAGGAAACCGTATCAACTTTGAGTGAGCTACACACGACATCGGTGATATTGTATTCAAGGGATTCGAGCACATCTTCCGAAGTCGGCCAAGTACCGAATTGATCGGCCAAAGTGAGCACCAATGTATGCGAAGTAACGACCTCATCCAGAGAAAGCACTGTTCGGGTTAGACAACCCAAACACTGCGTCAGGAGTAATGTAGCCGTGATAAAAGATATATTAAATTTCATGGCTTAAACATATGACACTGCGTATGATTGAGTTATGCAAAAAAAAAAAAAATGATCTTTTGTGTTTGATTGCGGAATATATAAATCCTCGTTTAACTATAGAGAAGTAGGTTAAGAAGGAAGTGTAAATATCGCATTCCAGGATGTAGGGAATAGAAGAAACAACAGTGATTGGTAAATGGATGCTGTACTAACAATACTTGGGGGAAAAAGAGTGCTATAAGTTTTTTTTTATGATTCGAACACACACATACAGATGCTTGAGTGAAATATACATAACGTCATTCGACGAATAGCAACTTTTTGGACGTAAACGCCTTCATTTAGCGAACAAAAAAGAAGAAAGGTGTCATGATGGTTTACATTCATTGAAGCAATAAAAAATTAAAAAACGCACCACGTCGTTAGGGATTACTTCTTGAGAAGTGATTCATACGGCAAAGGGGGAAGTTTGTTCACATCTCTTCGGTTAAAAACGTCGCTGATATAACGTGCGTAGGTGGTTTGGGATCCCGTCAAAGATGCAGCACACTCTTCCGTCCTCAGATCACCGATGTGAGGAGCGGCGCTGCTTTTGTGGGTATCCAGATTAGCCTCGATGGCCAACCGGGAAGGCCCCGTGCCGGTAGACCCTGCCCTCGCCGACATCATCTCCTCGGTGGGGAATATTCGCCTCCCCTCAACCTTTCCCATCCCGCGATTCCCCAAGACCCCTACCACGTTCGGATCCTCCTGCAGATCAATTAGTTGCGCGCGGGATCGCAGGGCTTTCCGCTGAGGAGCCGTCGCCGCGTAGAGCTGAAGCTGCTCCATTAAATGGGCTGGGATCGCTTGTTGACGCTGATTCCATTCCAATAGGGTGCGTAACATGTTACGAAACTCCTCCCTTTCCGATTCTAAATACACCAAACGCTCCTCGAGCTCGGCGTACCGATTGTTGATGTATTCCCGTGCTTCCATTTGCACCAGACTGGACGGGTTTGATGTGAGAGATGAAAAAGCGCCTGAATACCTAGTAGGCTTCAAGGTTCCCCCCGCAACCCTATCGTGTCGAGTGAGGTTCTCGATATCCTTGAGACGTTGGTCGCAATTGTTAAACATCAGGGCAAGTTGCTGAGCTTCCTGGGATTTGAACGATCCAGCCAGGGATGGAGGCAAAGGGTAGGTCGCCAACTCGGACTTCACCTTCTCCATCGCTCCCTCCACGTCTTTCGCGTTCATATCCGAGAAGTGCGCCATACGCTTGCTCAGCTCACGTGTCACGATACGCCGAAGTGCGAGCAAAAGAGGGGAGCGAGAGAAAATCGTATCCACCTCTTTCTCGAGCGCGGGAGAAAAAGCAGGATGAAAGTAATCCGAGCACCCCACCTCAGGGTTTGCCGGCCGCGCGCTGAGCTCGCTAGGAGGGAGACGGGTGATCTGTTCACCTGGGTCGTACGTCCCTAGCCATATGGAGAGCCCATCAAAATTGCGTTTATGCTGCTCCATCTGCTCCCTTATCTCCTGCATCTGTCGCAGCATATCCTCCTGAATCTTTATGAAGGAGTGCGTTGCGTTCGTATTTTCAGTCAGCGCAGCCTTTAGCTTGCCGTTATCCCTAACAAGTTTGGTCGCTACACCTAACATGGCAGCAATCACTTCCGATTCCGATGCTCCCTCATCAACACCCTTGGTATCACTGGGGATGATTTCATTCAAATAGTGGTCTATTTCAGCGTCGTTCCCATCATCTAACGTCCCAAAAAGGCACTCTTCCATGCCCCGCTTTGCATTTACAAGAAGAAAACGCTTTACCCTGCGGACGGTGTCGCTGGAGTCAGTTACCCTGAGATTGCACTCTTCCATCCGCTTCCGTAAGGAGATAATATCATTATTTAATTGAATGCTAAGTCTGGAAAGATAAGCCTCAAGGCCAGACGCGTTCACGAGCAGTGGTGGTACCCTGAGGTAGTTGCCTTTGTTGAACCCGTCATTTGGCTCCATGTGAAATAACAGTTCAGAAGTTAATCGATAACTTCGGATGTGTATGTGCGAAAGAGCAAGAACTACCTGAGTCAGTTTAAGGTTACCAAACTCCTTGCAGAGGTGGGAAGAAAAAATGAAAGAAAAAAAGGGGGGTATAATTCTATGAGGCATAAAAGATATAAACAAAGAATGAATTCCATCAACCCACTCCGACTCGCCTCCTCAATCATCTCCGTGGTGAGTGCGTTTAAATGTCTAATCCTCACTTCTTTTCATAGAGTTGACTATCGCTCGTTCGGCTTGTGTTGTCATCATTGTAGGGTATTCGTTTACGTATAGCAACACTTCGAAACAGAAGCAAGAACCCTCGTGTATACTTCAACAACAGGATGTGAACTAGGCATAAAATGCTCTGATCAGAGCCCAAGGAGTGTGAGATCCGGGACAAACAAGGTAAACTAATACAAACAGAAAGCTATCCCAAGATGCCTGATGGATCATCAGTCCGCAAAAGCTCCCCCATTCCAAAAAAGATTTTGTACCTTTATGGCTCGAGCACGATATGTCTCTCTTTATCACGCTTATACTGCAACATTTCCTCACGTACTATCTGTGTGTAGTCCTCGCTTCTCGGGAGCAATTTTCGCCGAATACCACGCAGCGCTTCGATACTAGTTGGGTTAGCCACGTACGAATAACGCACGAAGTCATCCCGAGAGAGCGGCTCGGACCCAAAATCACCCACTCCCAAAAATCGACGCCAAATAGCCCTCAGAGAATGAAACCGCTCAACCCTATGAGATTTTTCAGGGGGGTACTTCACTTCCTGAACTAGAGATTCGTCCTGTTCGCGTGCTTGGCCAGCGGCCCCGGCGGTCCTTCCCACGGAACCAGCGCTATCATTCCCCTTGCTTATCGACAAACAAGATGGGGTGCATTCGTTAAAACACGCACTTTCATCTTGAGCTTTCGAAGGAAGTGGCACCTGTGTTTCTGCGGCGTTCATTCGCCTCTTCTCCGCCCGGATCGCCGCCACGAGCGCGCTGAAATCTGGTTTATCGTACTGAAGCTGCATTGCCACACACTCCAGATCGTGGCGCCTCGCCTCCTCAAGTCGTTCCACCTCGGCGTTGGAGACTGCGATGAAGGTCTCGAGATTCGCCGCGAGCTGGTGAAGCTCATAGTACTGTTGGAGGCACTCCATCGCGATCCATGCGGTTAATATCTTTAGAAAAAGAGTGGCGTAGTAGTAGAGATTGTCAGTACGCTCCCACTTGGTGTAGGTAAGGATGGCCTTTTTAAGCAGCCCCACGTTTCGCTCAAACTCCTCGCGAGTGTTACCAAAGAGGATGCTATCCTTTTCAAAGTCGAGATCAGCGAGAAGGAAGTGCTGCCGTTGGCTCACCACGCTTCCTTGAAAACTTTTCATAAACTCTATCCGCTTCTTCGTGAGCTGCTTTTGAGTGAGGTGGTTATCGACCGACATATCGTTCTCATCGCCTAGGGGAGTGAGTTTATCGTCCTGAGAAAAGTTTGGCAGGGACTTGCGTGGGCGTAAGAAGCCAAGTCGTTTATCCTCCCTCACACCAAAACCACCTCGGATACTAGGCTTGCGAGGTGATTCGTATGGAACGACGTCAGAAATGAAATCCACTGTACTGCCTCGGTACGCATCGAATTCCTTGCCACACTTCGGCTCTGATGGAAGGCCCGCTATGGAAACGCCATCGATTTTCGTTGGCGCGTGGAATGTTTTATCCATAAAGATCATATCATCGATAGAATCGCGCCTTGAGAAGCCACACTCTTCCGCCTCCTTATCAAACCGCTCCAGTATAGCCCCTTCCAGCGGAGGGTTCTTAGGAGCACGAACCAATAGGAAGCGTAAATGGCGTAAGAAGATTAAACATGGAGTACGCTTCATGCTAGATCAAATGAATTATTTTAATATTCCTAAAACTGTGGCCAAGGGTTATCTACTGGAAGAAAGTCTTGCTCACAAGATATTTTCCCTGTTAAAGGGGAAAGAGAATAAACAAGCACATAAATCTAAGCTCTCAACTGAGCTCACTATAAAAATGGGATTTTTTTAAAAGAAAAATGATTGAAATAAGATAAGAACCAAACTATCTCCAAGGGCGCACCTGTCCTTACAGTCTCCTTACCGCTACTACTCCTCCACCAGGCTATGCTTTCGACATAAAAATGTCGAACGTCAATAAGACCTTAGAGGCAATTCGCAGTGCTGGATCATAAAGATGACAACAATTCGAATAAAGCTCCGGATCACGACCACCACCATGACTTACGAAGTCATCGCAGAAGCGGTGCTCGACTCATACTTCCATGTCGGCGGCAGCTGCTTCACGCGTTTGTAGTAACGAGCCAAGCGGTGAATGCGGGACTCCACCAGGATCAGGCGGTATTTGGTATCGCGATCGGTTGGATGGCGCTCGAGGTGCTTGCGCATCTCGGTTGCGCGCTTCACCAGGCAATACATATCCTCCGGGATCTCCGGGGCGAGGCCTTTGTGCTTCAGGATGCGCAGAATCTTACGGCCGGTGACGTTCTTCACCTGAGCAATCCCCATGGAATCCCGTAGCTCCATACCGATCCGGCTGGGCGGCATGCCCTTCTTGGATAGCTTGCACACCCGCTCCACCACATCGCGGCTGGCAATTTTCAGCCACGTCGGCGGCGTGCGGCGGTACGGCAGAGCCGAGCTCGACTTGCCGTGGCCGTTACCATGCATGCGAACCATCCTTGTGGTACTTGATCCCTAGCGAATGAATCCGAACACGGATAATTAAAAGAAAAAGAGGAGGATACCGACGCAAGTGGCCTTGTCTTTCGCGCAAATGCGGGTATGGAAATTAAGAATAAATTTTAAAAAAGGGATGTGAATGTGCGGTAGAATGCAGAAGGAAGAAATAAGGGAGACCATGGAGAAGGTATTCATCTATCCTGTTCATCCTTGCTTCCTTCCTTTAGGAAAGCCATGTGCTTCTTTTCAGGTATGTTGGCCTGATAGCATGTTAATTTAGAATATCAATATATCAAAAATATAATTGAAAAAGGAAGAAGAATAATAATAAAAATACGGTTGATTAAGTTTCGTTTCTTTCTTCGAACAAAAAAAGAAAGAAAAAGGGGAGTCGCTCGTGCCTCATCCCAACTTTTAGGTTCGTTGTATCACTCATGCGTCCGCCTCCTCGACAAGCCTCGCAAAGTCCATCCCCCCCCTCAAGCTGCTGAAGAAGCTACAAGGCCTTCTTGATTACCTCCACGACCCTCATGAGCAACGCGAGCACGGAGATTTGCTGCAAAACGGCGATGCAATGCCCCACCAACCGCATGAATCTATCCGCGTCCGCATCCAAGAGGCGCCCCCTACTAGTTTTGTCGTAGCGTCATCGATTACGGTGCCGTGCGAGGGCGATGATCGCGTTCGAAATATCACACGCGCAGATGTAGGAGAGCGATTCCGCTCCCCCAAGAGGCTCAGGAAGGCACCTTAAACTAGATGCACGATCGGCTGAACAGCTGCACTTCTAAGCCTGCCCCGCGCAAGAAGAAAAGTCATCGAAGAAGGGAAATGCAACGGGCGGGAAAGAATTTCTCGGCGTGGGGATCAGCTCGGACCGTGAGGGAAGACCACCATTCGAGGGCGCGCACTTCCTCAGCCCCCCCCCCTTTCCCCTCTACAAAGTCGTCCTTTCCGTGAGGGCAAAAGAGGGGAGTGAAGACGCGATGAAAGGGATGAAACCCATCATCCAGTGTGTTCTGGAACGCGAGGAAAACTCAAGGAGCGCGCGCCCGACATTTTTTTCTTTTTCACCCCTTCTTATCCGACGTATTTATACTCTTCCGACGTCGTCCAGATGCTCGTAATTCGCCCGTAGGAGGAGCCCCCACGGCAAGTGCGTGGACGGAGGCTCCGAAAGAGGGAATGGGAGACCGTTGGATACAATTCCGGCCGGTGCGGCCCGCCACGCGAGTGAGATCAACGAGCTGCATCTCATCGAAAAAAAAAGGGAGAAGGGCTCATTCCGAGCCATTACTCATAGCTCATTTGTCTATGAATCTTGGTTGATGATAATGTTGCGCATCAAGAAAAGAAAAAAGCAAATATTATATATATCTATGTTTGAACATCCGATCCAAGGCACTGTAGGTCAGTCATGAAAGCATGTCATGATAATGTAGTGTTTTTAATACTTGAACAAAGAACAACCACCATGAAAAAAACGATGTTAAGTGATGTATTAGCTCCTGAAATTGATACCATTCAGTTTCATTCCCTTAGTATACCCTTACTTCCTTTCGTTATACCCCTTTATTCATAGTTTATGTGGGTTGACAAACATATATATATAAATATATATATGTATATATCTCCAACTCCTCTTCTCTTCCACCCCCACCAGATCAACTAAGCGAAAAATCCTTACGGTTACTAATTCTCCTGCAGGTATTGTAAGATGGTTTCCGGCGCCAACTGCACGATCCCTGAGGTGTGCTCCATTTTTCGCAGCGCTTTTCGATACTCAACCTCATCTTGTGTTTTTAAAAGGCGACGGATGGCAGGGGAGCTGAGAACCACACCGAGAACATCGCGGCAGGAGGCCAATTCCACATCCTTCAAAACCCTTCGTGCGAGAAAAGTGCGCAGCCCCTCGGCATTTTCGGCGGCGATTAGCCCATCCCAGTCGACGACGAGAGCAAAGGCAGCGGCGCACAAACGGTGTAGCGAATCCGCACGATCCACAAGAGGGGATTCCGCGGCGGAAACATCCCCTTCAGCCTCCTCTTTTCCAGCGCCGCCATCGGCCTCGCCGCGAGGCCATCCCTCGAGGTTTAAAAACCGATCCACGACGTCGACGACGCGACGGGCGATTCGCTCCGGGGCCTCGACGGCGCCCTCGCACGGCGCGCGAAGAACGCACT